CTGATAAGAGGAGAATAAAAAATCATCATAAATTTCACTTGGTTAGAAATAGCTTCGCTATATCCAGGTGCGTCGTACACATCGTGTCGACGTTAAAAATTTCGATGATTTAATATCATTCAGAAAATAAAAATGATATGTTAGTCGCGCTTCGATAGCTCAATGGTTAGAGCACTGGTCCGGATAACCAGTAATCATATCGTGGGTTCGATTCCCGAACGTAGCATATCATTTATTTTTCTGAATGATATTAATCATCGAAAGTCAAAGGAAGTAAAATTCAGTATTGTATAGTTACATATACTCCTTTTCTATTCTTTAACAGTTATAAGGTATTAAGGTAACACTCTACGAACTTTTGGTATGCCCTAAGTATTACTCTGCTTTAATTTATAATACCAGTTTCATTTATTTAGTATACGTTCGTGAAAATAATAGAGCAACAAGTTCTTCCAGAAAATAAAAAATCGAACGAAGAGACAACCTTTAGAAATTATGTTCACACAATAAAGACGAATCAACAAAATTGTATAATGAAGTCAATACCATGCCATATAATCGGAAAATCATTAGCCATGATACAAAAAAAACAGCATATGATAGTGCAAACAAAGAAAAGTTCAAAGAAAATACTCAAGGAAAATGTAGGGAATGAAAGAATGATAACAGACTCATACCATTTATAATTAGGTCGAACTTTTCGAACGATTTACTTTATATTTTGTCAAACAAATCTTATATCTCGTTTTGTACGATGCAACTTGACTGACTTTAAGTCACAGGCACAAAACGAAACAGTAGAGCGTCACAGTCATGCATAAAGTAATGCGATAAATCAGGAGACAGTCTCTAGAGATCATTTGATTTTTTCGATCCTTATTGGATGTAAAAAAAATTGGGATCTATAAGCAATGGATGTCTGTAAGAGAGAGCAGAACATTTTCGGACACAAGCTTACATTCACTACTTTCATAGTAATTTTCATAATAATCTCAACTATATTTTTCTTTCTTCAGATATCTACGTAAATTAGTTATATTAACTCGAATGGATAGATTTCGAGCCATTTGGCAGACAGAAAAATATCCGATATCCGAACTAGCTAGTTCTATCGGAAAGATGTTTGATTCTAAAGATGAGAAGCAACTCTTCTTCGATCATGTTTTTGTTCAATTTGAAGCCTTTGACGAATTAAATCACGTTCATGGAAATAAAATGTTCGTAAAGGACCTTGAACACATTATAGAATGCTCCATAACAAGTCTTGCGGCGGATAGAAACATAGGCAAATTTGCAAATCGTGTTGATTCTTACTTTTTCATTGATTGTCGAATCATGGAATATTTGAACATGATAAAAACATTCCCAAATGATGCACGGACTGTAAGTACGAAACTTGAAAAGTTTCGAGAACGTTTTTACGAACAATTGGCAAACATATTCGTATCAACAAACGGCATAAAACCAAACATTTATATAACAGACAAAAACATATTGCAACGAATAAACATTCTTCAACATCTCACGTCATGTACAAGTATCAAAGATATGAAAAGACTCGACTTATTTTTCGTTTTGTGTAAATTGTCATTACAGTCATCATCGTTCATCGATTATCATAATCGCCTACAATGGATTGATTTAGTATCCCAAATAAAGCGTTTATCTATGTCGTTGCAAAATTTTTGTTCACAATATATAAAATACAAGAATGAATTCATAAATTTTCGATTTGACATGCCAGCATTTATTTATATGATACAGAAATTTCATCCACCGAAACCATATCCACGCTCACCATTCATGATATTCGTTCAACTTCAAAAAAATTTGGAAATCGATGATATTGATAGTTTCTTCAAACATTTCTTACCGATATTTGAGTCTGGTGTTAAAGATGATCGATATCAAATGCAGCATGTTACTGATTTTATTCGAAGTATGGGTCGACGAGACCATACAATTGATAATTATCTTTCTATTTATTCTTTACATGTCGATATCCAACAATTATGGGAGATGTTTCTCTATCTAAGCAAAGG